TTCACTTTGCCACAATTTAGAAAGCTGCTTTTATTCTTAATTTTGTTTGTTTTTACAGAGGAAAAGTAATATAAGGAAAAATGCCTTACCTTGTTTGCCAAATTTTAGCTCAACTTTTGTCCAATTTGCTCAGGTTTTGCAATTAATGGGTTTTTATTTTATTTTTTAAGGTCACATGCTACATGAAATGGGTAGAGTTCAAACACTTATCATTGTAGATATACACAAAAATTTTATTTTATTTAAAAAAATCCTTTTAAACTATTGAGTGGTTCATATTTTTTAACAATCAGAGATGATTTCATTAGTTAATGGCAAAGTTTGAAACGCAGGTCTGGCCTGAACAGGTTGCACTTAAGTAGATGTATCGTGCTTTTAAATCCTTCTTTTTCACATTTAAACCTTCAGTTGGGGTCTTTATGAAGTGGAACTTCAATGCTTTGATCTGAATTCCTTCTTACCTTAACTTTACCAATCCCTCTTTCCCCCCTTTTCAGATGTGTGTCTCAAAGCAACTCATTTTGATGCTGTTCCTTCAAATCCAAAGGAGGCGCTTCATGCCCCGCCTCTTCTAGCTTCCATGCTGTTTCACTCAAGTGCGAGAGAGTGGGTACCGTCTATCTAGCAGCGCAAAAATGTTTTATTTACAAATTAATTTAAATATGTTAACAATGGAAGACTTGTTCCTCCAGCCTTACATGTTGGAGCCAGAGGGGAATGAAGATGACAAAATTGTCTTTGGGAAGTCCAGACTTTATTTTAAAGTTCCATCGCAAAAACTGTGACATAATAGTTCAGAAAACATCATAGAAACTATGACCCAAACAGAATCTAAAAATATCTACGCAGCACCGGGAGAGATTAAATTAAAAATTCCTGCGTGCCTGAAGACTCCAACTACACAACAAAATGCATTTAACGGCTAACACAGTGGATTTTGCACATGCTTGTTTTAAAGCAATGTTTCTCAATCCTGCTCCTCGAGGGCCACTGTTCTGCATAATTTAGTTGCTTCTCTGCTCTTCAGCTGGTCTTCAAGTTCTGTAGTAGCCTAAAACAACTAAAACGTGATCCAGTGGTCCTTGAGGACCAGGCCTGAGGATCACTGGCTTAGAGTGCAGATTACTGTAGGGGTAACTTTCAGAGACCACCACATCCAATCTTAGTCCAGTATCTGTAAATTTTACAGAGTTGGCTGCCATCTTGAACCAGACTGACTCTAAAAAATAAATCAGTTGTAGATGTACGGTTCACGTAACAGTGCAGACAAATCAACATGCAGGCACAAGCAAAAACATTGTTGCTTCATGTTTGGTGGCAGGTGATAATGGAGTACCTGTATGATGAGGTCATCCTCCCCACATTTCTTTTCTTTGTGCCTCCACTTATTTTATTATTTTTTCTCTTTCTTACACACAGTACACGTCTCCTCGCGCTTCCAATTATTTCTGCATTTTTTCTTCCCTCCTTCGCTTCAACCCTCTGCTCTCAGCCACACAGCCAGCGGCTCACAGCTGCACCTGTTGCTGCAAAACGCTCCAGGGCTTCATGGGAAATGGATTTGATGAGAGAAAAATGCCGTCAGGACCGCTAAGAGGCAGAGTGACCTCGTCTGCGAAGTAGCCGATTGGCACTCTGCAGCTGTTAACACTGTTAAAAACTGAGCAGTGGTCTTTTTTTTTAATTAACCTCTAGAACTACAGCTTAAAGCTAATTTTTGTTTTAAACCACAGACGGGGTGCTCCTCCTTTGCAGTGGATCACTCATTTTTTATTTGTTCTGCACTTTTCCAATAGAGTACGGAGCTTTTTGTAGACATTAAAAGACTTGATAAATAGAAGGCAGGGACAGATCCTGAAAGTGAGCAGTAATTTAAAAAAAAGTGGACTACACGGTGAATTAACCTGGTTTAAGCAAACAGTAACTGGAACTTTGTGTAGATAATGTTCTGCTTAGAGCTCTGAAGTGTTTGCTGTGGTTAGTTTCACTCTATTTTCATCCAGCACGCCTCAAACCTCAGTAATCACACATAAGAACCTCTAAGAGCAGCATTTTACTAGAACAACGGAACAATTTTAACACTTGGGGCCTCACAAATCTCGGTGGGAGTTATTCAGATTGGTGCCTTTCTACTATTTTCATTTGAGCTGAAGTTTGCGTAATGATGGCTGCAGGGCTGGAGGAATGTGCAGTAATGAAGTCTTTTTTTGGGGGGGGACGAGACGACTGTTTTTACTGTAAAGAAATATTTTACGCAAAAGCTATGCATCTTTTTCTTTTCTTTTTTTTCAGTGAAACTATTTTTCCTTGGCTATCCATGTAATCAAAGGTACCTCTGTAGCTGCTTAGCATTCAGCTATAAGAAATGCAGGAGACTGTCTGCAACAAATGAGTTCTGACCATCCCTGGTTTTGTCAGCAGTCTAAACTAGAATAACTCTCTGACAGGTGAAGAGAAGGCAGCTGCAGAAATGCTGAACTGACGAGTTGTCACGCTGTTTTCCCCCTGGATATCAATTTGCAAAAACCCGCTGCCTGCGTCCATCGACAGGAAACCAGAAGCCTTTTTATTTTGGCGGGGTGGGAAGCGGCCTGGCTTTGTGTCTGTGAGCTGAATTTAAGTCTCTGTCCCTTTATAACCTTCAGGCTTGCCTGGCTGGATTTTATTGTTCATCTTTTTAAAAAATCCCTTCTCATCGGTGTGTTGGATCAGACTGACTTTTAACTTAGATAGAAAATAATATATATAAAGGAACAGATTGCATTGAATTTTTTTGTTTTTCTATTTATCATTTTTTAATTTCTCTATGTTCTTTTGTAATTCAGTTCTGCAAAACTTGTGCTTTCTTAATCATTCATATTTCAAAACACTCTGCTCGATCCGGCATAGTATGCTATTATTTTTAGTAGGACTGCACCGATTAGTTGAAATAATCGATGTCGATTATGTAAATTTGTCGACGCAGACTTTTTATTATCGATTCGCTGTATTACATAACCACCACGTGAATGTTCATACAATTCCATTTCGGTACCTAAATGCATCATTGCGACCGTATTGGCATAAGAGTGGTGAGTTTTCCATGCTTGTCCTGAACGCAGCATC